AAAAATCACGACTACAAATAACGAATGTGTGAAAGGTTTACTTAGGATTTTTATAAGATTACTCATGTTACCAAGAGTGTAAAATTAACTTTTTTTTTTAAAGAAAAAAAAAGATTTAGTATCTTTAATTCAAAAGGAGATGAATCTAGCAGCACATGTACTTATTGATACTATATCATATTTAGTGTAGTGCATAGAATATGGAGATAACGAACAGTATTCAAGCTCAAAGTCCATTAAAAGTTTAAATCAATACAAATCGGGAGCAGAGCAAACACGGCCCTCTAAAAAACATCAGACGTGGGATCAGGTGCCACGGAAGAGTGAGCATCCTCTGCCGACCGGTAACAACCGCTGTTTGCTCCTTGTCATGATCGGGAAAAATCCGTCGACAATTCAGTGTGAAAATAATGGTCTAACAATTAGTATGAAAAACATCAGTCAGCATATGACTTAGTGATAGATTGTATTTGCTGACAAGGTCATTGTATCGATCATAGAACTTAAGAAATGATGACTTGAGACTGTTGATATTCTTGTTCCATCAACTAGTTTGTCATTAACCTACCTCGTTTTAGAAATTTGTCATACGTAGGGAATGTTCTTGCGTATCGAATCAACTGAGAGACCCCGTATGCAGGTGATAAGGGTATATTGCTGCATAAGTAAGGGAAGTTGACGATTGAAAAGTTGAAGTCATCACGTTTATCATAAAGCTTTGTTGTTATGTTACCATTAACGTCTTTTTCTAGTAAAATATCCAAATATGAAACTCTGTGGTATCTTTTATTTCAATATTTCAAGGTCACTGGGATATACCGTGTCGACATCTGAATGGAAATAACTATTGTTAATTGATAATACGTCGTCGATATATGTAAATGTCGAGTTCTGATTTCTTTTTCTCATATACATGATTTTGAATAAATTCTCTTTCATATGAATACAAAAATAGGATTGCATCGCAATCAATTTATTTCTCTGCTTAACGCTGTTATTTTCGGAGGTTTAACGAAGATATACCTCCTAGGAAAAAGGAATATTTATAAGATTAAGAAAAATAGCATGAATCTGCCGAGTCAATATATACATCATTCAAGGACTCAATAATCAAGTATAACGATGGCTTAATGATTGTCCCTTAAGCGTTTGACAAAGACCTAATAAAATTTCAATTAATCCAGATATTGAAATAAAATCGCATCTTTCACCGTTACAAAGTGCCGTCGTTCACCCTTGCAAAGTACTGTGTTTGTGGATCCCTTTATGGTTTTCTGCTCCATTATCACAAGAAGTTTGGACAACTCTATCTGTCTCTTTTTCTCTCTCGAACAAATCACTTTCACACACACATACTTTCTCTCTCTCCTTCTATCTCACTCGTCTTCACTTACCAACGATAAATGTTTGTTTCGTCGTCAAGCTCACTTGAACTAAAGAGTTATTAAAGTTTGTCCGGTGTCTAAATGTCTGTGGTCTGGACATGTGAATTTTCACATTCTTGACCCCTCCGGAACCAATGGATTTCAACATAACATGGCGCATAATATCGTATATTTAGGACTTCCAGGGTGATCATGAAGTAATCTATATTCCGCTCAATAGAAGTTCAAGTTTATCATCATCGTCGCAAGTCACGAGTTTTTCTGTCCAATCTATTTCCACGAACTAGAATGGGCTCAAAATCCGTGGTTTTACATAGAAATATACATACTCAGACCAAAATTCATTTTAATCTTTGATAAGAAAAGGAGGCTGGATTATATGAATATACATGAAAATACAAATTTTAGACAAATTCAAGATGAGCAAGCTGAAATAGTCGAATTAATATTAAAGCTTTTTCGCGTGGAGTATATTTATGATAACTCAGTTAAAAATCCATTTCAATCTTTGATAAGAAAAGGAGGCTAGATTATGATTATCCGATAGCGCAATATTTCGATGGATTGGTCATTATTTGTGGTATTTTGTATTTACATGCATGAATTTTTATTCTCTGCTTAAGAGGAACAGGCTAGCAATACTTGTCAAGATAACGCGGAGGTTTCTTCGTTCAGTTGGATTTTTTTTTCAAATCAGGCTCAAAGGTTTGGCCAAAACATGAAGTTCAACAGAGGAATATACAAGCTAATTTTTAATATTTTCCTCTGTGGAAAGTTTTCAAATTGAAATGAAAGCTTTTTCTGAATGTATTTTAATTAATATGCCAAAACCCATCCCCTTTTGGGTTTAGGCTAAAAAGAAAACTTTGATAATAGATAAAATATACACCGTATATACAAAAAATCTAAGAAATATCTCTTACTCATAGTCAGTAGAAAATTTAAAAATTACCATATACACTTTAATTAAATAATCTTATGCACTTTACATTTAAAACTTAGCTTTGTTTTCTTTTAAATATTTTTTTTTTCATTTGAAATTCACGTGTAAGGAGTATTTTATTTAAATAGTCCTGACTTTCACACCTCTTGATAACTTTTAAAGTGTTGTTTGATCTGACTTGCTGTAGACGACTTCATGACCCAGAATTTGAATTAATATATAAATATCATAAGGTGGTATTTCTAACAACAACGAAAAATCCAAATGTTGAATGATCTTTATTTTCCAATATCTGGAGATTTTGTAAACATATCAAAGAATTCAGTTAACCACAGAACAATGTATGTGCCACTTCAAAATAAAGAGACAGATCTTTATGAACATTTCTGATAAATTGTTGCAAAGACTTTTCAAACCTAAATGTTAACGACTTCTATAAAGTCTTATTTATTAGACCTGAAATTAAATGAAAGAGTTCTTTCAATGTCATCTGCTCAATAACTTAATACACTTTAACATTGTTTTGTAAATGCAATGTATATGAACCAAACACAATAGATGGAAAAGATTAAAATAATCAAGTAATTTCCAATGTAACATTACGTTATACGTTTATAAGTTTACGAGACTTGAGTTTTAGAATGCATTTAAAAATATGACTTAAAGTCCAGGCTTTTTGACATCATAGAAAGTTGCTTTTTCAATAAAAATGGAACTCGTAAAGTTACTTACCTTGTCATTTTTCTATTGCAAAATTATTTCGTTAAAAACATTCTGATTGTACACACAATTACTCCGAAGTTGATATTAAAAATATTCATATGAATCAAAATTTATTCAAAAACGTCTACATGAGAAGACATTTAGATATATCGACGACGTATTATCAATTAATAATAGTTACTTCCATTTATATGTTGACTCGATATATCCCAATGAATTTGAAATAAAAGATACCACAGAGTCTGACACATCTGTTTCATATTTGGATATTTTACTAGAAAAAAAATTTAATGGTAACATAACAACAAAACTTTATGATAAACGTGATTATATAACTTTTCTACTGTCAAATTCCCTTACATATGTAGCAATATACCCTTATCATCAGCATATGGAGTTTATGTCTGCCAGTTGATTCGATATGCAAGAACTTGCTCTACATACGAGCAATTTTTAAAGCGAGGCAAACTATTGACAAACAAGTTAATGAAAAAATGATATCAACTGTCTCCCTTAAAGTCAACATTTCGCAAATTCTATGGTCGATACAATGTCAGCAAATACAGTCTATCATTAAATCGAATGCTGACTGACATTTTTCATACTAATTGTTAGGCCATTATTACACAATAAATTAGGCATCTCCATATGATTGAAAATTCCTCGAGGGGGACGTTAAACAATAAACAAACAAAGACACTGAATTGTCTACGGATTCTTCCGTTTGCCCAATCATGACAAGGAGCACACCGCGGGTATGACCGGTCGGCAGGAGATGTTTACTTCTCCATGGCACCTGATCCTACCTCTAATGCTTTTAGAGGTCCGTGTTTGCTCTGCTCCCGATTTGTCCAGTTTCAATGGATTATTGAGCTTGAATACTGTTCGTTATCTCCAAATATCATTTCCAACCAAAGTATAGTTTTTTTTAAACATTTTATAAAGTTCCAATTTATAAAAAATTTCATTAAAATTAGATTCTCTATCAGCTCCCTTTTATTAAAACCCTCTATGTGCTCCTTTAATTTTTCCATTTCGATCGGAAAGATATTTGGGGTTTCTCAGAGCAAAAAATGGACACTACCATTTTTTCTATAACATTGAGAATACCCATGACTCTTATCCGCAACTCCTCTTATATCACTGAATACTGACTTTCACAGAATCTTTATTACAAATCGTAGTACCACTGTGCACCTCCTATTTTCGTTTTGATCGGAAAGATATTTGATCCTTCCCATAGCAAAACGTGGACTTTGCCATTATACCCATATAGGAGCGAAGGTATCATTTTGTGAACTCAGTGCTCATAGTACCTCTAGTTTTTATTCAACACAATCTGATAAAAATCATATCCTCGATCCGATGTCTGCCTTTTTTTATTGTCGCTACACTGTTTTTTCCCTCTTTTTAAACGATCAACATTTTTTTGTTTTTGTATCATTTTTTGATTTAATATGATAATTCCAAACATGTTAGAATAAAATATATATAAACATTTAAATATATGAAGTATAGAAAAAATTACTTACACATGTATTCCTTAAAATTTTAAGAAAATTAAAAGAAATTCGTGTTATTCAATAGCTATTTTATCCCAGTTTGGTAATATTCTCTAAAACATATTAGCCTATGTGGTATTATCTTTCTACGCAAAAGGAAAAGCATTAAATTATTTAGAATAGAAGTAAAGGCATCACGTGATTGGAAACTATAATTTTCTGTCTTTAATATCAAGGAAAAGATAATTACCTCGACCTGGCCCTTCTGCTAAAATAAGACGGTTAGATTTAATCAGAGACATAAATAAAATAAATGTTACTTATGTCTCTGACTTAATTTTACCATCACTTGATAATATTGTCTTCCCGAATATCTGAAAATTTCTTCAATTCTCAAATACAATAAATATGAGAAGAATCCATCCTTAACACAATTTATGATTTCAGATGAAGAATTCATTGGAGCACCTGGTAATCTCTTCAGTGTTCATTCTTTGCCTTTCGCTGACATTTGCAAATGGAAACTCTCAAACAGAAGACAACATTTCACAGCTATCAAAACTTTTCAGTAACTTGCAAGACATCCATGGAACAAAACATAGTCAAGAGGAAAACACAAGGGATCGACTACGATCAGATACCAGAAAACAACGCAGTGAAATAGGATTGATTCTGGCTCTCGGTACTCCAGTGAACATGGAGTCAATGGCGGATAGAGACAAAGTTATGGAAGAGGACAAACACACAGACGACCTAGACAAAAGCGATTGGGACATTGATTTTGATGACGAGGAACAGGAAGTAGACAAGCGTCAAGGAGCCTGGGATTATGAATATGGTCTCGGGGGTGGTCGGTTTGGAAAGCGATTTGATTACTCTTTTGGTGGCGGCCGGTGGGGTAGGGATACAGATCATGTGAAACAAGAAGATATTAACTGAGAAAATTATCAGAATTCTTCCTTATAGATAAGCATCTTTAGTTTCAAGTATGTGTAATTGATATTTTAAGTGTGATCTTAAGTTTGAAACCAGAAATCGAGAATACTCAGTCGTACCTGATATTAAATGAAATTCATCAATTCAAAGCATTTCTGCAGCAGTTTATTGCATGCGTTTTTAAACCAAGATCAACTACCTTGCATGAATAAAGGGAGAAAGATGTTTTCATTTAAAAAAAATATACGCGCAAAAATATACTTAGCTGTTTGAAATCGATCAGATTTTTTTATCATGATTTGTAATAAAGATCCTTTCATGTTTTTTTTTTAAATTAAATATGTTTAAAATGTTCATTATACACGATAGTAGAATAGGCTATCAATTCATCAGAAATACTGGAGACAATTTATTTATCGCATATTTTATATGTTTTTTGCAGTAATAAAGAAAGAAAGTTTCCTTTACGTTATTTCATCTTTTGATCACTATAGTAGTGTAAAATATACATGCTCAGTAAAATCTAAAAATAAACTAGATGCTAACATTTTCCCTATATTTAAACACTTTGTAGAGTGAAGCATTGACGATATGCTGTACCAGACGATTTACTTAAGAATAACGGATAAAAACAAGAGTTAGTATCGCATTGCTTATCTAAAATGCCTTGTTATACATGTGATCTAGAGAGGAGTTTAACTGCAGAACTCCGGGGACGGGGGGCAGCCCCCCCCCCCCACTTTTTTCTTCTGCTGTAGTTAATTTCACTTAGATAATGGTGGCATCCCCCTTTTTGTAGCTGGATTTGGACATTTTTATTTTTTGCTTGTCAGATTATTTTTGGGAAGTTGCCCCTTACCCCACACTTTTGAAACTATTGTTCAGGGCCTGTAACAATTTCTAGTTTGTTCCAAGAGACCGTAAACTTAGCATGCCTTTACTCTAATAATTTCGTAATTTCGATTTTAATACAAAATGCATAAGGACGTCGCATATTTAATTTGAAAAAATGATACCCTTTTCCCCAATGAAAATATTTTGAAAGGTATTCTAAATAAATTCGTTTAGTTTAAAAAAAAAAGAGCATGACAGTGTTCAAATCTAATCCTGAGATGTACTGAATATTCTTGTATGAATTTACTTGATTGAATTTAAAACAGAATGACCAGACACATATTTATCGACCTGCACTTAAAGCACAGGCAATGGGAATAAATTTCTATGTCTCAGCATATGTCTTTAGATAGTGTCTAAATTCCTAAAAGAAATTTCATTGATATCTCAAGACACAAAAAAGTTATGCCTAAAATGATGCTAAAGATGTCAGGAGTGCAATACCTTTATGTGACATTTAGAAAATTCAATACATTTTGAAGATCTATGAAATAAATGATACTGGTTTACTGTTGGAAACAAAGACATTCCTGATTAGAATCAAAGTTTTGAGCTTTAAATGTAGACTGTAGCAACTTTTGTTTGGCCATGTTGTGGTCACGGCTGATGCCTAAAAAATGTTAAACCATGACAGAAGTGCAACAGAAAAAATGTTGTGTTGACTGAAAACCTTGATTTTAAAATTCTTTATACAATTAAGTCAAAAGGAGAATTTTAAAAATGTAAAACAATTACTGATATTCCATTTAAAATTAAATTTTGAAATGTTATGTTATGTCAAGTATCTGTGCATACCCAATTATATCAGGAGTGCAACATTTGATGTTTTGATCCCTAGCGAACTTTATCAGTGTATGATTCTCTGATTTTTATTTTGGAAAACAAAGACACAAAAGACCTTTTACAAAATAGATTTATCAATTACAGGGTCTGTCTGTGTTTCAGATCTATATTTCTATGGTCAGGAGTGCAACACATTTTTTAAAGATCCAAGTTATGTGATGAAAAGACTTCTATTCATACCAATAAATATTCTTAAATCAATAATGATCTATTTGAATAATTTAGTAATAAATTATTGACAGTTTTGTTATTGAAATCTCTCTCTTTTTCAATTTTATCAACCCAGATGTGTTTTTATCTTTTCTTTGAATTTTTTATGAATGTAAAAAAACATATAAACACTGAAAAAATGTTTAAAAAATTCAGGTAATTCCATCTCGACTTTACTGAAACAACAGAACATGTTCTGATGTAATTTATGCTTCAAGATTCAACTTTAAAGACTCACATGCTCTTGGTCAGGTGTGCAACAAAATATTAGAATTATTGCTGATCAAAAATGAATTAATATAAAGAAAATGATTGATGAATGTTTCTGGTTGACCTCAATTCTTACAGTGTTTGTTTCGTGAAGGAAAATACTATAAAATATACTTTTATATATTTTGAGCTATTTTTTAAAGCATAAATAGGGAATAATTCAAGAAGTAAAACCAAGTTTAAATACTTTTATGTGTTTTGACCATAAGTATTAGACTATAAGTATTGCAGAATTTTGATACCACTTAATGTTGCCAACTCTTTTTGAATTTTTGTGTTTTATGGTTTTACTTTTAATTTTACTGCAATCAGGAGTGCAACAAAACTGTTATATAATTATCAATGAACTTCATTTATCTTTATTTAAAAAAATAAGCTGCAGAAAATGTTTGATACTATTTATGGTTCAAACCATTGTATCTATCAACAAATTACAGATATTGTTTGGACATTTTACAGTCAATGTACAGAATATTTTTATCACTAAACATATATTCTTAAAAATATTTTACACAAGCAAATAATCATATGTTGAAGTCAAGAAAATATGAGTCAAGAAAATATGAAAAACTTGCCGTAAATGATAAAAAATATCAAAACGACGAATTGATTTTCAAACTTTGAACCAGTTATTTGTGGTATAATCTTTAAAACATTCTTTCATAAAATACATAGCAGATGTCAGGAGTGCAACAAAATAAGGTACAATGTAAAATAAGATCATTTCAAAATCTAGTATTTTTTGTAAGAAAACTTTTACATTAGAATTCTTTGTGGCTTAGATTTAAAGAGTTGTCTTAAATGGACCAATAAGTAAATTTGGGGGAATTCATCATATCGTATTTACCGTCACGGTAGCTCAGTCGCTAGAGCGCTCGCTCTGTGATCGAAAAGTCGTGTGTTCAAATCACAGCCGCGACTGACCTACGTAGATAAAAAAAACAGGTAGCGACTGTTCCATCGCCAAACTCTCGGCACTTTGGAGTGAAAGTTGCGGGTCTTTAGGATGAGACCTTAAAAACCAAGGCCCCGTGTCACGGTAGGCGTTGACATTATAAAAGAACCCTAACTGCTCTGTGGTCCTGAGTGCCAAGTAAAGGTCTAAATTTGAAGCCCTTCACCAGTATATATGGTGACGTCTCTATATGAGTGAAAAATTCTCGAACGAGACATAAAACATCATAAAATCAATCAATCAATCATATCATATTTCTTTCATATTAAAGCTTTTCAAACCAGAGTTGAAAAAAAATAATGTAAAATAACAACCAAGAAGCCAATTTCTTTCACATATAAAAGAGAAAAAACTCAACCAAGGTTTGAATGTAATCATTATTAGTACTTTTTTTAATTCTTTAAAATTCGTCTGAAAGCAGATTAAAAAGTTCACGATTAATAATTTATCGGAAAAGTTATAATATTTTGCTTTTGAGAATTGCTTTATCCTCATATTCCATTGTAATTGTAAACTATACAGTTTAGACACGTGTCATTCAGAATTCACGTGGTACAAATAAACATATCAAAGATTGCTCCGGTTTGTACGACCTTTTGATTTCCGGCAGATTCTAATTACGTGAGAGTATTCATGTTTCTCAAACTGTTGTCATCAACTTTATACCTCATTTCTTTAATGTTATATTGGGTAAATTTGACTGAAAAACACACGTTTTGCCGTCGTACTGTCGCTTTTAAGATTATTTTGGGTATATTTTCCACTATCCATTTCATATCTGTTTGGTAGGTCTCGAGTCGCATCGCTGTGTGTTGGTTTCTGCTACTTTATTTTTCTTTTCAAAAAAAAATTCATGGTTGAAAAAAATCAGCGAACACTTTATATTTTGCTATTCACTGGACTTGATATGACATGACACGTTTCCCCTACCAGATTTTAAAATGTTTGAGTAGCAAAAAACAAAAAATAAAGCGAACTTTCAAAGCAAAAAAAAAAACCGTTAAAGCATTGCAACTATTTCTATACAATTTAAGAAAAAAAGTAGCAAATTTCAAAAAATAAACGGTTTAGTAGGATTTTTATTTAATTTGTGGGAAGAATGACATAAGAGGTATTCCTTACATCAACCATTCTCTTGATTAGGATAGTGAACTTGGAGAAGTAATAATGGGCTTTTGCGAGAAGCGCTGACTTTTACAGTCAACGGTTTACTTTTACGCAAGGCCAATATACGGAAGCTCTTTTCCGATATAAATATTTAGCTTAATGTTAATCAAAAGATAATGATTAGTCATTTCAAAGCATATAATACGTTGTCTAGGAAGGGAACAGCGACCACCCTATCATCAACCCCCTTCCTTCCCTCCCTGACCAACTCGTGCCTAGTTTTCCTTCTGGAATGTGTTTTAAGCTCATCTGAGCCAAAGGCTCAAGTGAGCTTTTCTGATCGAAATTTGTCCGTTGTCTGTTGAGGTTGTCGTCGTCGTCGTTGTAAACTTTTCACAATTTCATCTTCTTCTCCAGAACTACCGGGTCAATTTTAACCAAACTTGGCACAGAGTATCCTTGGGTAAAGGAGATTCAAATTTGTTCAAATGAAGGGCCACGTGCTCTTCCAATGGGAGATAATTACAAATTGGTGAAAAATTAATGGCATCTTTTAAAAATCTTCTTCTCAAGAACCACTGGGCCAGAAAGATGAAACTCAAGTGGAATCATTCTCAGGTAGTGTAGATTCAAATTTGTCCAAATCATAACCCCTGGGGGTATGGTGGGGCCACAATGGACGATCAAAGTTTTACATAGGAATATGTAGCAAAAATCTTTAAAAAATTTCTTCTCAAGAACAGCAAAGCCATGATTGGTCATATTTATATGGAAGCATCCCCAAGTGGTGTAGATTCAAGTTTGTTCAAATCATGACCCCTGGGGGTAGGGTGAGGCAACAATGGACAATCAGTTTTACATAGGAATATATAGGGAAAATCTTTAAAAATCTTTTTCTCAAGAACAGCAAAGCCATGATTGGTCATTTTTATGTGGAAGCATCCTCACGTGGTGTAGATTCAAGTTTGTTCAAATCATGACCCCCTGGGGTAGGTTGGGGCCACAATGGACAATCAAAGTTTTATATAGGAATATATAGAAAAAATCTTCCCAAGAACAGCAAAGCCATGATTGGTTATTAACTATTTGGAAGTATCCTAAGGTAGTGTAGATTCATGTTTGAAAAAAAAATCCATGACCCCCTTGGGATAGG